GGCGGGTCTGTGGCCCCCCCAGGGCCCGGCGGGGGCCAGCCGACACCAAGGGGCTGCATTCTAGCCTGTTAGGCACCGGAGACAGGCTGGAGCCAAGGCCCCTGCCAGCTTCCTGGGCCCTGGCCATCAGCACACTTCTCTTCCAGGAAGCCATCCTCATCTCCCTGGCTGCCCTACAGCCTGGCCTTAACCGGGCAGGTGCACGGCCCACCTGAAGGTTCTGCCGGGTCCAGAATGTTGGCGAAGCAGCGGTGAAACGGGTCACCTGGGTCAGCACAGCCAAGACTTGGCTCCAAAACAAGCCAGCTTTAATGTGGCCCAGCCCCACCCACGGTCTCCCTGGGCTGTGCCCTCACTTGCTTCCCGCAGTGATGGCCTTGAGGCTGCCCGCCCGCGCCAGGATATTTGGCACGAAGAGCAGCCCCGAGGCCCGCTCGATGCTCTCGATGGGTACCAGGAAGCGCTCCAGTGGGATGGCCTCATCCACGGGTGCGTTGGGCATCACGTAGGAGCGCAGCTCGATCTGTCCGCCCGCTGCCTCCAGGATCAGCACCTTGAAGAAGTGTGTGGGCACCGCCACGTGGTTCTTGCCAATTACTTGGTACTTCACGTAGGCCTTCCCATCAGCCTCTGTCCTGTGGGCAGACCCAGGGGGCCTTGTTGGACCCAATGCCACCTCCCCCAGGAAGCCTTCCCTGACCTGATCTTCAGCTTTGGTCAACCTGTAGGGCCACTCCATCATTGAGGCTGGAAACTGCAGGGTAGAGACTAACTCCTGTTACCATCATGCCCTACGTCGTCAGGTCAGGCAGAGTAGGTGGCAATAAATGCTGCTTGAAAGTTGGGTATTCAAAACATCTATATTCATGGGGCCGACACTTGGTAACTCTGTCCCCTGGAGGGCAGCACCGAGTGGGCAAGGACCGGGAGCTGAAATCCCAGCACGGCCTGGCACGTGCCTCCTCGCAGTTCAGCGGCCCTCAGGAGGCACTTGCAGATGATTTTCCATGCCCTCGCCGCTCCCTCTGCTGTCCACTCAGCCCCCTCAGCGGTCATAGGCTCCATGCCCGTGTTATAGGAGAGGGTGCTGAGTCTTTACCCCTGACACCACGCCAGCTGCTCAGCCAGAACCTGTGACCTCGGCCCAGTCCTCAGTGGGCCAGAAAAACCACCGGTGTGCGCGGAGCCCAGGTCTTTCCACCTGGGAGGCGGGGCTGCAGAGGGAGAAAGGGAGACCCTGGGGACCAGCAGTTGGCGTAGTGGCTGTGTCGCTGGACTCCCATGCAGCTGACCGTCGTCTGAGTCCCGGACCCAGTGGCTTAAACTCACACTGGGTGCGTGTGTGTGCGTGCCCAGGATCCTGAGAGCAGAATGGAGGAGAGGGGATTGTGGCATGGCCATCCCCCTAGGGGGTGATTTCTCGCTTTCTGTCTGTCTTTCTGGAGAGCACATGCACCCTATAGCAAAAGCCTCTTAAAAAAAGAAAAAGGAGATCCTGGTTCAAACCCTGGCTCTGGAGAACAGAGGCAGGTGGGAGGCTCCAAGCCAGAGACAATATGAGAGAGCTTGGGCCATCAGGGACCTGCAAAGTTCTCCTCTGTGCATACTCAGGGCCTAGTGGCCCTGGTCTGGGTATGTACCCACAGGTCTCTGGCTGTGGGATTTGGGGTAAGGGACAAGGCAGGGAAATAGACTGGCCAGTGACATGTTGACTCAGCCTGGGGGAGGGCCCTCGAGAGCAGAGGCCCTGCAGTCCCAGGACCATGGGCTATGGGCTCACCTGGGCAGGAAGAGC